TAGAAAGAGGTAGGAAGCAAAGCAAGGAAATTATTTAATTGGCTATAGTTGACAGGGACCCCTTGTTTGGGAAAACCTAGTTGGCTGCTTGTGATTGGCTGTCCTTAGGTTTTAATTTTTTAACCTCAAGCCTTTTCAGGCTTAGGTTTTGTTTTGTTTACCTAGAGGACTAAGGCATTAAAGCCACTTCCGGCTCTTGGCCCCCTTGGTCTAGTTAATTTAGCACCCTTCAGGAACCTCCCTTCCATTAAGGTGTTAGTCTCTATATTTGCCTGTCAGTCTCTCCAGTCTTGGGGGCAGCACTTTGCCCTCTCCTCAACTCTTTTACAGATCCTAAAAGAGTTGTTGATTTTTTAGTCTGTTGAGCTTTGTACTTGTTGTTAGGGAGGGGTGGCACCTTCCCACATCTTTACGTGCATGCGGAAGGAACTCCTTGCATCCAGAAACCGGTACTACCCCACCATTCTACCTTGTCTCTAGGAATCTGATTATTCTAGGTACCTCGTATAAGTGGAATCATACAATATTTGTTCTTTTGAGTCTGGCTTATTTACTTAACGTTTCAAGACTCATCCATGTTGTTGCATGACACAGACATTGGATAGCATTCACTGATGATTTCCCATGTGCTAACAGTGCTCCTTAAATTGCCCTTTATTGACATAAATTTTATTCCTGGTATAGAGACCTCTTCATGTCCAGGCCTTGTTTTCATTTTCTTTCTCTATTCCCAGTAGGGAAAAAATAACTCTTTCTCTTACTCTTCTGTTCTCCTTGAAATCTCTCCCTCTCATATTCTTAATGTCTATCCCTTTCTTGGAAGTGATCCCTCTCTCCACGCTGGGCATAGAGCCTGCTTGAGATTCTCTCTCTCTCTCTCTCTCTCTCTTTCTGCTCCACCCTAAAAAAAAAAAAAAAAGTGATCCCTCTATTTTGATATTTGTTTCACAAGCTTCTAGTCCAATAGCCCTAACATATTTTGCTTCTTGAAATCCTCAGAACCAGGGTTCCTGGGTGGCTCAGTCGTTAAGCGTCTGCCTTCGGCTCGGGTCATGATCCCAGGGTGCTGGGATCGAGCCCCGCATCGGGCTCCCTGCTCAGCCGGAAGCCTGCTTCTCCCTCTCCCACTCCCCCTGCTTGTGTTCCCTCTCTCACTGTGTCTCTCTCTGTCAAATAAATAAATAAAATATAAAAAAAAAAAATCCTCAAAGCCTACTGCTCTTCCTTCTGCTCCGGTACCACTATTAGAGCATATATTGAAGTGGTAAATTGCTTTTATTTAACTTATAATGAATATATTTTAATAAGAGGAGGAAGGTAATCTTCAACAATTGAATAATGTCAAATACTGACATTTGAAATAAGGGTTAAGTCAGCACATTTATATATATATATACTCATTATCACCGTGAATGCCCTTGTTCTTTTTAAGTTTATATCCTAGTAGTTGGAAAACATAGTCTCAGAGTCCAGTCTTGTGGAAAAGGGGTTTCTGAATTCAAAATCTCATTTGGATAAAATATCTTTTATTTCTTGTTTTGATAGGCTAGAGTCACTGCCCAGAGGCTCTATGTCACTGGAGGTATCTCCTTTAATCTCTTAAGAAGAACTTGTTAATATTTACTAACTTTTGTAATCTTCTAACCATGAAAACTAGGGTAGAATATTTATCTCATACTTGATGCAAGTCATAGAATGCACCAAATGCAATGAGAAATATGAATTCAATTTTGCACAAAAATACGCGGGGGCAAATGAATAGGGTTCAACCTGGCATCCTCAGTTTTCTTCAATAAGGAGCAACGCAGGGATAGGTGCAAGCTTCAGTTGGATACTTCCCCTCGTGTCATTTGAGGATGTTGTGCTAGGAGAGAAGGGATGGAGCGACCATGCTCTCTGCTTAGTGGACTATACTCTTCTGCTCTTATTCAATGACATAATGTACATCATACATTTTCTTTTTTAAGATTTTATTTTTATTTATTTGACAGAGAGAGAGAGAGCACAAGTGGTGGGGGGCAGCAGAGGGAGAGGGAGAAGCAGGCTCCCCAATGAGCAAGGAGCCTGATGTGGGGCTCAATCCCAGGACCCTGGAATCATGACCTGAGCCGAAGGCAGGTGCCCAACCGACTGAGCCACCCAGGCGCCCCACATCATACATTTTCAAAGGAGAATACCAGCTGGGTTTACTTTGGTTAGGAGACAAACACCGTGTCTACTTTTTTCTCCTTACTCTTACAAATGCTGCTACCTACATTCCTTAACTGAATGATTAAAATTGAAAATGAATGTTGTATCACCACTTCACACCCATTAGGATTGCTATTATTAAAAAAAAAAAAAGAAAAAGAAACTGACAAGTTTTGGTGAGAATTAGACAAACTGAAGCCCCAGTGCATGGCTGGTGGAAGGTAAAATGGTGCAGCTGCTATGGAAAAGAGTGCGGTGGTTTCTCAAAAAATTAAAAAAAAAAAAATTACTATATGACCCAGCAACTTCACTTCTGGGCATAGATCCAAAAGAATAGAAAGCAAGGCCTCGAACAGATCTTTGTACATCTTTGTTCATAACAGCATTGTTCGCAGTAGCCCAAAAGTAGAAGCAACTCAAGTAAGTGTCCATCCATGGATGAATGGATAAACACCATGTAGTATATACATTCAATGGAATATTATTCAGCCTTAAAAAGGAAGGAAACTCTGACACATGCTACAACATGGATGAACCTTGAAGACATGATGTTAAGTGGAATAAGCCAGTCACAAAAGGACAGATACTGTATGGTTCTATTTCTCTGAGGCATCTAGAGTAGTCAAACTCATAAGAGACAGAAGGTAGAATGGTGGTTGCCAGGGGTGGAGGGGAGGGATAGATGGGGAAGTTATTGTTTAATGCACACAGTGCTTCATCTTGAAAGGTGAAAAATTTCTGGAGACGGCCGCTGGGATGGTTGCACAACAGTGTGAATGCACTTATTGCCGCTGAAGCGTACACGAAAGTGGTAAATTGTATGCTATGTGTATCTTACCACACTTTTAAAAAATTCCTGTTGCATCAGCATTACTGGGATTCTAACATAAAGAATAAATTGTCATGTCAGTCAAGGTTATGGACAATATTCATCCTGTTAGTTTGGTATTATTGAAGAGAGAATGTGAATGGAGACTGGATGAAAATCTTTTGAAATCTTACAATGGGTAAAGCTGACAATTATAGTTTTGATCTATCTTAAGTAATCCAATGGATAGATGCCAGGATCTGGATTTTTTTATGCAAAACTAGTTAAAAAGAACAACCCATGTAAATAATGCTTGTTCTAGGACCATGATTCTAGTTTTCGAATGTGTATGGATCTGACCATTTATCTGGAGAGAAGGAGATAATATTATGATTATTTCATGCCGTATTTACTGTAATATATCATACTCTAGCAAATATATTGTGTGCTGTATAATCCTGAGATATGTGAGATGAGCGTGGCCCAGACAAGATGGTCCATAGCACATACGCAGGCTAGCCTTTGTGCAGAACTTCTTTGGCTGATGTATGAAAGGTGGCCTCTTAGAGCGTGTCATGAGATTTCTAGTTTGATGGGATCCTCATTCACTCAGACATTACAATTAAAAGCCCCAAGCTTCCATTTGAACAGCAGTTTGGGGATTTTCTGGTGTTCTTTCCTTAGTCACTGAAATGGGGTCTGGCAGTCCTTGGCCCTAGGCCCTTATTTACATCAACTGATTGATAAAGTAAGCTCTTAGCTCTGAGTCTGACCACAAGAATAAGGATTGGGGAAGAAATGAGCAGATTGGATTTCAGGGCAATGTGCAAAAGTAACAGACACTCTCCCTACCATCTCCCTTCACTACTTCTTATCCCATTTTCCGTAAGTTATTGAGATTCATAATTAAAGGACATTAAAGAATTTCACAAAGGGAGAGAAATTATTACCTGTACTGGACAGACAGATTTCTTTTTTTTTTTTTAATATTTTATTTATTTGACAGAGAGAGACACAGCGAGAGAGGGAACACAAGCAGGGGGAGTGGGAGAGGGAGAAGCAGGCTTCCTGCGGAGCAGGGAGCCCAATGCGGTGCTTGATCCCAGCACCCTGGGATCATGACCTGAGCTGAAGGCAGACGCTTAACGACTGAGCCACCCAGGAGCCCCCAGACAGATTTCCTTTATCATACAGATTCTCCAGCCTTTTTTGGAAGTGGCGTATTCTCAGATGAAGCCACATCTACTGGCAAGTGAGGAAAAGGAATTGTAAATTAAGGTGACTGTGCCAGAAAGTGAGGAATTGTTTGGAGTTTTGCGAACAGTGATGTCTAATCTAAAGGAAAGATGTGGGAATCTACAAGCACAGCACTGGACAATTGAAAACTACTTTGGGGAGCTTGCTATCCTCAATATTTAGGTATTTATCCCGAGATGTCTCCTATTAGAATCTACACCTTCATGTTCTCAATGAGTATTTCGTTGTATGGAAAGAACAGAACAAGTGAAATGTCTACAAACACAGTACTGGAAAGCTGAATTGCACAATTTCTTGAGGAGCTTTGAGTTCTTTCTCCTTCAAATTATGTTACAGAAAAAGGTAATTCCAAACCCAGACACCCCGCATAGCCATACCGGATATACTTCACTAGGTCAACACACTTCATTAGTTCTACTGAACTAGAGATTCACATGAATACAACTCAGGAGCACACTCTAGATTACCATTTCCTGTTCCTCTTGGGAGCTGGCTCTTCCTTCACTGCAGGCATTCATCCTCATAACACACTCAAAATATGCTAAATTTCTTGACCTGTTTGAAACCACATCTCAGAGGGCCATCGATGAACTTAGCCCACGTTGCCTTTGCACAGTGTGAGAAGGGAAGAAGGTGGATGATTAAAATGAATGGGATCAAAATGGCCATTCTCAATTTTAACTTGCAAGGATCAGTATGGGCAGATGACATTCTCCTACTCCTGATTTTTTAGAGAATTACTCTCTTAGAATGGCCACTGTGCTTCATTGTGGAAGAGGCTATTACCCTTGACATCAGTATGTAAAACCATAATATCATTTACGTAAGCAGGAATAATTTCTTGAATATCATCTTGCCATCGACAAGTGATAAGGACATGGCCCTTCCTATAAGAAGATTCATATTCACAGTCTGACATTCTAGCTCCTCTCGTTAAATTACAATACACCCCTTCTACTAGTTGCCTGCTCCTGTGACATTTCTTAACTCCATTCTTACAAGGCACAAATAAGTTTTTACAGATCTTTTGCAAGTCCTCATATGCTATTTGGAGGAAGAAATGTTCTCTGACACAACGGAACTTGTCGTGAACATTTTTCATCTTCATTTCATCAGTACAGTAGTCTGGATCAGTTAGTGGTCTCTCAGGATCGATAATTGTACGTCTTTGGAAAGCCTCCTTGGTCAGAGGTTTGGCAGGTCCTGAGCTGTGCAGTTCCTCCAAGTAATCTTCAAACTGTTCTATCTCTTCCTCTGACTTATCGAGACTGACACGCAAAATCTTAAATTGTAGTGGCTGCAGCAGCAGAAGCAGCAGAGCCAGGGGCCGCGAGGTGATCAGAGTCGGCATGTTCTCCGGGAGGTGGGGGGCGACTAGGAGAGAGAAGGAGATGGGGGCCCTGTGCCACTGTGCCCGTTTCTGCCCCCCAGCAGCACACATTCATTTCTGCCACTTATTGCTGTTCTGAGCTCTAAGGCTTTGGGCAATTTTCCAATTGACAACTTGGTGTATATTTCAATATTCTGAAACATGGACTGAAAAGTAGCCTTCCCATGCCCCTAGTCAGTCTAGAAGACTGTGGACGTGGGAGGAGAAGGGGAAGGAAGGAGGGAGAGAGCAGGAAACAAGGAAGGATGAGGAAGAGAGCAAAGGACAGATGGAGGGCAGGACAGCAGTGCGGGGAGAGAGGTGGGGAGGAGGTTCCCGGGCTGCCGCCCTCTGGAACAGAGTCCCCTTCTTAGGAGTTGTGAACTTGCACTGCAAAGAGCCGTAAGTCATCCTCCCTCCCCTCCCCCTGCTGTCCGGAGGAAGATTCTTCATCTTAGGACTTGTCCTCTGGCTCATCTCTGATGGTAGCTGCCCTGGGAGAAGGGATCAAGCCAAGAACCTCGGGTCAGAGGATCACCGTCTGCTGCTTCTTTGTGTGTCTGCTTTCACCACGACCTCGTTGCCAGGAGCTGCTCGGTCCACTGTGCAGCCTCCTCTGACCACTCAGGTGCATCACTTACCTTGTTGTGTGTGTGTGTTGGGGGGTGGGTTCATCCTATTTTGTTCTCTCCAGTAGGCTTCCTGGTTTTGCTGTGACCAGGTTTCACAAAAAAAAAAAAAAAAAAGATTCTCTCTCTCCCTCTCCCCACCCCTCGTCCCACTCTCACACTGTCTCTCTCTCAAAAAGAATGGTCCTACTTTAAAAAGAAATGAAAATATTGAATTTGGTACATACTGACGAAGCATGTTATTACTAAGCTTCACGGTCATGATGTTAAATAATTTATTTTTTAAAAATGTTTTTAAAGATTTTATTTATTTGACAGAGAGAGACAGCGAGAAAGGGAACACAAGCAGGGGGAGTGGGAGAGGGAGAAGCAGGCTTCCCGCTGAGCAGGGAGCCCGATGCGGGGCTCGATCCCAGGACCCTGGGATCATGACCTGAGCTGAAGGCAGACGCTTAACGACTGAGCCACCCAGGCACCCCTCATTTTCCATTTTTATTCCAAATCTGGCTGTTAATCATGAACTCTCCAAGGAGGCTTTCCTCCCAGAGAAAGGCATGTACCTTAGGGACGCTGGAGAGGTTGCCAGGCCTACCTCTGCCTGTGGCCTCTTTACCTCGTTCAGTCTTTGTCTTGTCTGTGCTTCAGAGAATGGATGTTTCCAGGTCTGGGCTGGAGAGATCCTAATATGGGGGGTACTGGCTTCCCCTAAGAGCACAGGGGCTTGGAGTGGAAAGGGAGAAAAACAGGTCTGAGCCGCTGAAATACATACATTCTTGGGGTCACCCCAAAATAAAATAAAAATAATAAATAATAATGGCTGACGTAATGAGCAATGATGTGCCAAGCCCTATGCTAAGCACTACATATATATATATATATATATATATATATATATATATATATGAGCATCTTCATCATCCAAACAACCTTTGATAAACATGTTGTCTTTTAGTATTGTTTTTGTTTGCATTGTAATTAGCATCTCTTTGTGAAAGGAGGTTGCTTAAAATTTTACGTTGGCTCCGGCAGAACCCTGGTTCAAGCCCAGGTCAGAAGTCTTTCTGAATGTCCACATCTCTGTTCTTCACTGCTATTCTATGGCCCTCATCAGTCTAGTTTCCCTTCCTGAGGCTACTGGGTACTTCCTTCTCCACGCTGTCTTTGTAACTATCAGTAGAGACTAACAGAAACAGAGACATCACAAAAATGGCCAGAACTACAGCTGTCTTTGAACCACTAGGGTGCTGTGAAAAATTGGCCGCCATGCCATGAAGCCTATCTGTGCTGTTGCAGGAGCAGGGTCCTGGGTTGTCTTACTCCTCTGTGCCCTTGGCAGCCTGAGGGATTCTCTAATACTCATAACCCGCAGACCTGGACTGACATGCAGATGCAGACGGAGAGCCTCTGATTCCAGGTTGGACGCAACCCGTGTGTATGTGAGTAGAAAAAAAATCAGACAATGGAGGGGTTAAAGAAAGGCAGATGTTGGGGCCACACATGAGCAAGTGGAAAGAACAGGAAGAGTGAAGGCAGGAGAGCAGAGAGTCGGACTGGGAGGAAAAACTGGCCTACGGCGGTGTTGTGAGAGTAGGCAGTCTTGGTGTGACCAGATTCAGAAGCCCTTCCTCCCGTCCCTGCTTGCACACTCCCATCAGACTCCCCCAGGGAGTCTCTTCAGGAGAGTGAGCCCGTTGTGACAGTCCAGGGAGCCCAGCACACAGTGCCATAAAGGAGAGCCTGGAGCCTCTGCGACGTCATGGGCTGGAGCGAACAGGACAGCAGGTGCACGGACAGCAGAGCTCAGGCTCCTGCTGAGGACACGCATCACGCCCTGCCCGGGACACCTCCTTGGTTCTTGTATCTTAAACTTCTTAATCCTTTATTTAGGAATTCAACTTGTAGTTTCATGCTTGTCAAAATCCTTTCTCAGCTCAAAGTATATGCATTTTCGCTTCTATTCTATTTTGTGACTTTTATGGATTTTTTAAAAACTTAAGTCTTTTACCCATCTGGAATTTATTTTGAAGTATAGTGAGAGGTGGCTTTTGTTTTCACATGATTTGTTCATAATCCCAGTACCAGTTATTTGGGGAATGAAATGTATTCTCTCACCTCTTATTTATGTATGTATGTATGTCTGTATTTATTTATTTTTTTCTTTTTAAAGATTTTATTTATTTATTTGAGAGAGAGAGAATGAGAGAGAAGAGGGTCAGTGGGAGAAGCAGACTCCCTGCCGAGCAGGGAGCCCGATGTGGGACTTGATCCCAGGACTCCAGGGTCATGACCTGAGCCGAAGGCAGTTGCTTAACCAACTGAGCCACCCAGGCGCCCTGTATGTATGTATTTAAACAATTTTTTTAAAGAGTCGACGCTTAGCCTACTGCACCACCCAGGTGCCCCTCTCACCTCTAATTTAAAAGTTACCTTATATATTAAATAATTCTGTTTCTGAACTACCTATTGTGTTTTGATGATAGTTTTATCTATTCCTGGGCCAGTAATATGCTTTTACTTATTTTCTTTTTATAAAATATTTTAATATCTAATAAAACAACCCCCATGCATTCATCTGCTTGTTCAAAAGTTAGCAGAGAGAACAGAAAGTAGATGAGTGATTGCTTGGGGCAGAGGGTACGAATGGAGATGAGCAGTAAATGGGCAAGACAGAAAGAAACAGAAACAGAAAACACAGAACAGGGACATCTGGGTGGCTCAGGCGTTAAGCGTCTGCCTTCGGCTCAGGGCATGATCCCAGGGTCCTGGGATCGAGCCCCGCGTCGGGCTCCCTGCTCCGCGGGAGGCCTGCTTCTCCCTCTCCCACTCCCCCTGCTTGTGTTCCCTCTCTCGCTGTGTCTCTCTCTGTCAAATAAATAAATAAAATCTTTAAAAAAAAAAAAAGAAGAAAACACAGAACAGATGGCATCGAAACGTGCTCATAGGATGTTTCTTAAGTTTTTGCCTGGAAGCCTCACAGCAGAACCACCTGGCCTCCCTATGGGTTACAGATTCCTTGGTTTTTCCTCAGACCTCATTAATCAAAATCTCTGTGAATGGGCCCATATATTTGCACTGTTAACAAACACACAAGGTGAGTCTTAGCCCAGGAAAGTTTGAGAAGCACTTCTTTAGTATACATAAAAATGTAATTTATGATATAAAAAACATCCCCAAATAGTGGGGAAAGTGTTAGGCCTTTTCAGTAAATGTTTTTGGGGAAAAAATGAGATGCATTGCTTTCACCTTTTGGCTATTGTGAATAATGCTGCTTTGAACATGGGTGTACTCTGACTGAGTCCTGCTTTTCCTCAGTGCTTTGAAACTTGCTTGGGAGGGTTAGGGCAGCTTAGATTTATAGGCAGGGAAGAGCCTGTGAGAACTTGTGGGTCCTGAGCTGCTTCTGTGATGCAGGTCCTGAGTCCCTGATCAGGACTCTGTATTTAACCACCATTTTTACCAAAGTAAAAGATTAAGATGAGTCATAGGCCCCTTAGGTAGACAAATACATATTTCAGAGAGATTATTAAGTGGTCTTTTAAAAGCAGATCACTTTTAAGGGCGCCTGGGTGGCTCATTGGTTAAGCAACTGCCTTCGGCTGAGGTCATGATCCTGGAGTCCCGGGATTGAGTCCCACATCGGGCTCCCTCCCTCTGACCCTCTTCCCTCTCGTGCCCTCTATCTCTCATTCTCTCTCTCTCAAATAAATAAATAAAATCTTTAAAATAAATAAATAAAAGTAGATCATTTTTAAAATGCAAGACTTTTAACAGATCTTACGATAAGGCATCAGTGGATTCTGATCATATAATAGTTATATAGCCTCAGTCACAAAAGGAAAAAACTAAAACTGTATCTTTCAAATTGCCAAAAATTATGGGCAATCATGCATTTGTGATTAGAATGAAAAAGTTGGCAAATATAACACAAAGCTTTAAAAAGCTGATAATTTCCCCCTAGTTTTAATAGGTAGAATTCTATTAATTTATATGGAAACATGGACAGCAAGCTTTATTTAATAGAGACAAAAATTTGAAATTTGAAAACATAAATATCCAAAAATTATAGGAAAAGTTAAATTGAGTCTGATATGTTCATAAATATGATAAAAACAATAATAAACATTGTGATAAGAGCTAATATTTGAGATAGTATTCTATAGTCATGGAATTATATATTCTTAGGATGGATTGTTTTCCAGAATTTACATGTATATTAATCAATGAAATTTTAAAGATATGAAATATTTTTAATATTATACTAGTAGGACTGTCTGGTTACAAGTTACAGAAGTACCAAACAAATTAACTTAAACATAAGAGGAACTGTATTAACTCACAGAAAACAAATCCAAG